ACCTCCCGGGTGTGGGGCCAGAGGCTGAGAGGCAGTCTGCGGTAGCAGGGGTCGGGGGCTGCCCCCAGAGCAATGTTCCCAGATGGACAGCTGCCTGTTGCCTGCCTCCCCACCCCTGGCCTGCCCTGCCTGCCTCACTCTGCCCACGTCTGTCCGCTCCAGCTGTGCTGAGTGCTCAGAGGCCCGCCCCCATGCCTCTGTGCTTTGCACATGCTGTTCCCACCACCTGGAACACAAGCCCCACATGGCTGGGTGTGTGTGTGTGTGTGTGTGTGCACGTGTGTGTGTTGTGTCCCGTCAAGTGGATTCTGACTCATAGCAACCCCAAGTGGCAGAGTAGAACTGCTCCATAGGGTTTCCTAGGCTGAAATTTTTGTGGGAGCAGATCGCCAGGCCTTTTCTCCTGTGGATCAGCTGGTGGGTTCAGACCAGAGAGCATGGCCGACCCCAGAGTCTGGAGGGCAGGGCCACTGCCCAGAGGATGTAGGCTGTGGCTTTCTGTTCACAGCTGAGCATGTGACTCTTCCCCCAGGGCTCCATCGTGGTGGGCAGACTCCTGCTTATCCTCTCTGACTCAGTTGGGGTGTGTACCCTAGGAATCTCCCCCATCCGAACCCTGGAGGGTGACTGGCCGGCCTCCTCCCCCGCCCTGGCCCTGCTGTCTCTCCTGCCCGTCCAGCCCATCTGCGGGCAGCCTGCGGGCCCAGCCCTCCACCGAGCAGCTGTGGACGAGTGCTGAGCCTCGGTGTCTGTGTCTCTGAAAGGGGGTGGCGAGGTCCCCACGGGCTGCCGTGAGGATGACGGTCAGCGGGTGGGGTGGTGACAGTGGGGTCGAAGTGAGAGTGGTCAGGTGGCTGCCCTGTGTCTCGGGAGTCCCTGCTAGGAGCATGCCCCCTGGGTGCTTCGTGACAGCCTTATGGGAAACGGGCCCAGATAGAACTCAGACGGAGGCTGCAGGGACCCAGGCTGCCCAGCCCACCCTCCCCAGCAAGTGACCCCTTGCTGCTAGGTGTGCACGGCCTCTGGGGCATCGAGGGCCTGTCTGGATGGGCTGGCGGGGCAGAAATGGGCTGCTCTCGGGAGGAACGCCCAAAGCTCGAGCCTTCCCTGCAGACTGGACGGGACCCACTGCGTTGGCCACCTATTATAAGGAGACCATGGGGCAGCAGTGCCTGCCCTTCCCCAGGCCGGCGAGGGTTTGGAGTGGAGCGGGGTCCTGTGACCCTCACCTGCTTTTCCCCCCAGCTCTGACTGCCGACGGGGCTGGGAGCTGCTGTTGGGAAGGTCAGGGACGGGGCAGTACAGCACCCACAGTGTGGGGCTGTGAGAGCTGGGCAAGGGCCCAGCATGGGAGCTCATGCCTCTGGAGGCTCTGAAAGGGGCCAGGTTCCAGCCCTGGCCATCTACTCCCTCAGCTCTGCCCAGCCCTGGGCCCCTCCTGCTGCCGCGGCTCCAGAACTGGGGGGAGGGGGGGCAGAGTCAGCTCCTAATCCCTCCAGTGGCCTTTCCAGGCCCCTCTGCTCAGACGGACGCGCTGATATTTAATGGGATGCGTCAGACGTCTCCTTGAGGACCGTTCCCCCAGGCCGCATCAGAAGGTCACAGGCGTGGTCAATACCTTCTCACCGGGAGCCACAAAGGTCAGCCTTGTCAGCGAGGCTGCACCCAGGGCCTGCCCCCTCCCTGAGCACTGGGGGTGGGCTCTCTCACCAGGCAGCTGGACAAAGGCGGGCGGCCTCCTCAGCAGCATTCAAAGTCAGGGGGGATCTCCGCCTGGCCCCGGCCCAGCTCAGTGACCGGGGTCCCGTGCTCTACCCCTCTGGAGCCTGCGTGGGTGCCCTGGGCTGCTGTGACGAAGCACTGCCCACTGGGTGCCTGACGAGGACAGACGTGCATTCTCCCACGGTTCTGGAGGCCGGGAGTCCGCAGGTCGGGAGGCCCTGCCCCCTCCAGGGCTCCGGGGATGACCCTTCCTTGTGGACGCTCCAGCTTCTGGCAGCCCTGGGCGTTCCTGGGCTTGCAGGAGCATCTTCCCGTGGCCGCCTTCCCTCTGTCTGTGTCCGTGTCTGTTGTTCCCGCTCTGAGACACCACTCACCTACTCCAGGATGACCTCACTTCACTAATGACATCTGCAAGACCCATTTCCAAACAAGGTCACAGTCACTGTACTAGGGTCAGGACTTCAGAACGCCATTTGGAGGAGACAGTTCACCCCACAGCAGTCGGTCAGTAGGCGACATTGCTGAGATGGGGCTGCTGGGCTGGGCTGGGTGGCCGGCAGGAGCTCAGTTTCCGGTAGACTCCCTCCCCGCGGGGACACAGAGGAGCAGCAGGTGTGAGGGGCTGGAGCCGGGATGGGGGGACTCTGCCTGTGTCGGGAGGCGCTGAAGGGCTGGGCTGCAGGCCCTCATCAAAGGCTGTTCCACCTCCACCATATGTCCCGGTCCCGCGTTGGGCGTCCCTGGGTTCTGCCTGTCACCGCTGTGCCCACCTCGTCCCCTTGAAGTCAGCCAAGGGGTCCAGTGGAGGATTGGCGATGGGAGGGGTGCTGGTGGAGGCAGGTGGAGGCATGGCATTGCAGCCCCTCCTTCAGGTGACCCCTTGAACTCCTCTCATGCGTTCTCCACTCCAGCCTGGCTCCTTTGCTGCCGCTGGGGCTGCTGCCTTCTTGTCTGTGTTTCTACCAGCCCCTTGTGGGCCCCTCACCTCTCTCCACCTGTTAGACCTGGTGTTGGGGGATGGGTCCACGCATAGAGGCCGGAAGCACAGGCTTGACCTCTGAGCACACTCCCGGGGAGGCTTCGTTGGCTCAGGCACAGCCATGGTCAAGGAGAGGTGCCAGGCCAGGTCAAGGCCGGGCTTCGAGACGTATCGATAGTCACATCACTGATGGTCCCTCTGTGCCTCAAGTCCTCCAGGACTCTGGTCATCCCCATGAACCAAGGAGTGCTCTCTGTGCCGGGGGCAAGGAAAGAGACGCTGAGGGATGAGGTGGCATACTCAAGGTTACGGCTAGGCAGTGGCGGGGGCGGGGGGCGGCGAACTGGAGGCCCAGTCTGTCTGCCCCAGTTCCTGTGTGAGCCCCTCCCAGGGGCCCAGGCAGGTGCTCATTGGCTGGGCTGCACAGCCCCGGTTCAGGGTAGCGGTCCTGAGAGGTTCGCCCCCCAACCTGCGCCAGCGGCTCTGCAGCTGTGTGCAGGTGCACTCCTGACTCTGTGGCTGAGCCCCCCAGAGCCGGGGTCCTGCCTGCAGTCCAGGGTGCAGGCAGGACCTGCAGCCCAGCCGTGGGTGAGGCTGCACCGTGAGTCTATGCACAGCCCGGGCGCAGCGCTCAGCAGCAGGGGCACCACGGGGGAGGGAGATGCAGGCAGCCCCCAGGGCACTGTCCGCGGTCCTGAAGTGCCTTGAGCCCACAGCCCCTTACCCCCTTACCGCGGAGGCCTGGCCTGTGCCTGTCCCCTGGGGCTGTGGTTTCTGACCGCCCCCCCAGACCCAGCTGTGAGCTCCCAGTGTGTGGTCTTGGCCCCCCTTGGCCCCCTGTGTCCTCCCCCAAACACATAGCTGGCCTGTGTGGGCAGCAGCATGACCTTGTGACAGCTGTTGGGGGGACAGACCTGGACCTCAGGTCCATCATGCAGCACCTAGGAAGCCCTGGGAGGGCCACTTAATCTCTCTGACCCGGTGTTCTGCCCAGAACACAGACAGGCAGGTACTTGGCAAGGCCGCTGGGAAGGGGAGAAGCTGTGTGCCGAGCTCCAGGCACAGTCCTTGGGCACATGCAGAGGCTCCCCCAGAGCTCCTGTGCCACGGAAGAGCATGTGCGTGTGAATGAGTGTGAGAGTGAGTGCATGGGAGTGTGAGTGTGTGTAACTGAGTGTGAGCATGAGAGTGAGTGTGAAAGTGTGTAACTGAGTGTGTGAGAATGTGAGTGTGAATGTGTGTAACTGAGTGAGTGAGTAACTGAGTGTGAGCATGAGAGTGAGTGTGAAAGTGTGTAACTGAGTGAGTGTGAGAGTGCGTGTGAATGTGTGTGAATGTGAGTGTAACTGAGTTGTGAGTGAATGTGTGTGTGTGTAAGTGTTAGCGTGTGAGAGTGACTGTGAGTGTGTATGAGAGTGAGTGTGTGAGAGTGTGTGTGAGTGAGCGAGTGTGAGTGAGTGTGAGTGTGGCCTGCCTGGGGACCTGCTGCCTTGACACCTAGATCTAGTTGCAGCTTCGCTTCCTCCACGAAGTCTCCCCTGGCCCCTCGCTCATGCGTCCCCCCGCATAGATCTGTGTCTTTTCTTCTCCACAAGGCTTTTGATGACGGGGCCCAGAACTTATTAAATTAATAACAATGACAAAGATATATAGTAAAACCTGTGGAATCTGGAATCTGTGTAAGGCAGAAACCTGTCAGAGAAGGAAAAACCAAATGTTTTCCACTGAAACAAGGGACAGAAAAGTGGTAAGACTCACCCCGTGGAGCGCTTGGGAGACCCGGAGAAACAAGGCGGTCCTGCTGAGTTCCGGCCCTCACAGGTCTCACTGTACAAGGACAATAGACAGGCCCAGTGATGACTGCATAGCTGGGATTTGCTGGACCCCAGGCGTCTTCTTAGTCAAGGCTTTCGAGTGTCCCCTAGAGTCCCAGGCACCATCCTTTGCTTGCAAGAGAAGAATCCAAGACTCCAGGAGGGGACATGGCCAAGGTCACGCAGCCCAAGGGGAGCAAACCGGGATTCGTGCCCAGGCCTGGCCAACTCTGGAGCTCAGGTGGTTTCTCTAGGTCTCCTGCCGCCTCCCTTGAGCCTGGTTCCAGGGCCCTCAGAGCAGTCCCCGAATAACCATGGCCCCATGTGACCATGTGGCCACTCAGGGTGGAGTCCCTTTCGAGGGATGAGGTCTGCCAGAGCTCTGTCCCAGGGATGAGCCCCCTGCATGCCACAGCCCAGATGCTCTCAGGATGGGCAAGCTGGAAGGCCAGGACATGACAGCAGCGTTCCTCTCTCCACCAGAGACGAAAGGTCAAGTGCTACTTCCTGTCGGCTGGAGTTGCTGTCCTGCTTGTTGCCATCCTCATCATCGCCACCTCTGTCCGAAAGTGACACCACATGTGGTGAGTGCCAGCCCAGCCCATATATGCTCCATCAATTCTTCCTTCTCTCCCTCCTTCCTTCTTTCCTTCCTTCCATCCATCCATCCATCCATATCTCCCCTTCTCTTTCATCCATTTATCCATCCATGCATCCATCCATCCCTCCCTCCTTCCCTCCCTCCATCCATATCTCCCTTTTCTCTTTCATGCATTTGTCCATCCATCCATCCATTCATCCGTATCTCCCTCTTCTCTTTCATCCGTTTATCCATCCATCCGTCCATCTGTCCGTCCGTCCGTCCATCCATCCACCGATATCTCCCTCTTGTCTTTCATTCCTCCCTCCCTGCCTCTGTCCACACATTTATTGAGTACCTGCTCTGCATCGGGCAGGAGCTGGGCTCGGGGGACATTGTGGAGAACATGGCAGAGGGAAGCCATGGAGAAGGACACCCCAAAGGTCCCCTTTACTGTGCAGCAACCTACAGAAAGTCATGGCGAGCAGCTCCCCTGCCAGCCCACCAGGAGTGGAGCACGTTGGGCTGTGTGGGGTTTGGGCTGGGAGCCCAGGGATGGGGTGAGGGCACCAGTGGGGAGAGGCCGTCGGGAGGCTCCACCGGAGGTCTTCTGGCCGTGGGACTGTGGGACTATGTCCTGGGGGACGGGAGCAGTGAAAGGATACAGGGGGATGGAGGGCGACATGGCTACTTTCCCTCCTGCCCTCCCCTCTGAGCACCCAGGCCTCTTGGGCCATGGGTCCAGCAGGGCCTCTGTCCAGTGGAGCTGCTGAGATGGGGGCCTAGGGGTGTCCTCAGCACCTGGGCATAGAAGACATTCATCCATTCACCCACAGACCCTCAGCAGACCCTCCCAAGTGTGTGCTGCATGCCTGCCCTGGCCTGGGCCCAGGATGCAGTGTGGGCCCAACAGCCCCCGCCGGCAGGAGCTGAGGGTCTGTGGGGAGGGAGTGCAGTGTGCCAGCATGGTGGCCCTGCAGACTGGGGTCCCAGGGCAGCTCCAACCTCCACGACAAGCCAGGGACCTGGGGTGGGGGTGGGTGTCTGGGACACGCAGGGATGCGTTTGCTTGGTACCACCACCTCTGATGTGCAGCCAGGCCAGAGAGAGACAGTAGACACGCTGACTCCCGCCCTGACTTCAGCAGCCTTGGAGGGCATTGGTGTGAGTCTATGGTAACACAACAGGACCAGCCCAGCTTGCCCACCCTGGATTCCGCCCACCCACCATGGTGTCAGCCCCCTGTTCTCAATCTGTTGGACCCCTCCTTCCCACCCAGTGACTCCCTGAGTGACCCTAGAGCCCCCTGCCTTGCTGGGCACAGTTTCCGGCTAGAAATGGGGGCGTCTTCAGCCCTGCTTCCCTCACTGCCGAGTTGCTCTGAGGACAAAGGAGGATAATGGCTAAATATAAACAGCACTTTGAGGAAGGAGCAGGCTCCATTCAAATGCAAGGGATTATTATTTCTGCAGAGAAAAGCAGTCTCTGGGGGGGGGCTCGGCCGCCTCCCGATTTGGAAAAATCCCACCAGCAGCACTGACAGCCATGTGTACGTGCCCCGTAAGCACCTGGCAGGGCAAAGCCCCCACCCCTGCACAGAGCCCACCTCTGATAGCCATGACCCCTGAGGTCACCCAGGGCTGCGGCCCCACCTCACGGGGGCTGGCGATGGGTCAGGATGCTTGTTTGACAAGAGGAGCCGCTACAGCCACTGAGGCACATGCTTCAGAGGACTCCCGAGAGGGTCCCAGAAACGGAGAGTCCCAAGACTCAGGCTAAAGTTCCTCCACTTCCCTGGTGTAGACCCTGGAAGAGGGAGGATATGGTGAGGCTCAGGGTCGGGAGGGACTGTGCCCAGCCATCCTCAGCTGCCCAGCAAGTCCCTGCACTCAACTGACAGCTAGTCTGGGATCAGGGTTAGGGCTCAGCATGTGACCAGGGTCAGGGCTCTGAGTGTGACCAGGGTCAGGGCTCAGCATGTGACCAGGGTCAAGGCTCTGAGTGTGACCAGGGTCAGGGCTCTGAGTGTGACCAGGGTCAGGGCTCAGCATGTGACCAGGGTCAGGGCTCTGAGTGTGACCAGGGTTGGGGCAGAGTCTGGGTCAGGGCTGGGGCTTCCTCAGCCTTGGTGGGCATTGGTGTGAGTCTGTGGTGACACAATAGGACCAGCCCGGCTTGCCCACCCTGGATTCACCCACCTTGGCCTCAGCCCCCTGCTCTCTGTCTGTTGGACCCCTCCTTCCCACTCAGACTTCCATTTTCAGAAGCACTGCCCTGCCACTGGGTGAGGGTGAGGCAGCCTTTTGTAGATAAGGGCCAGGCTCAGGGTGACAGGGAAGGGCCCCCACACATCAGGTTGAAGAGGACATTCGGGATCGGTCTGCTAGCACCAGCATGAGCACTGATGTGTTAGGTAGCAAGGGGGCAAGGGAGGAGGGGAGGACTCGGCCCAGGGTGGAGCAGCGCCCAGTGGTGGGCAGGAGACGAGGGGCTGGCTGCCAGGCGATGATGGCCCGGGTCTGTGGGCGGCAGCTGTCACAGAAGACAAGTTTGGGAGCCTGTGGGAGGAAGAGGTCCTTGAGGTCTGAACTGGACAATGCTTTCCTCTGGAGGAGTCAGTGTGTGACCAGCCTGGTAGGTGCAAATGGTCTGTGCTCGACTGCTAACCTGAAGGTTGATGGTTCGAACCCAACCAGCAGTACCACAGAAGAAAGGCCTGGTGATTAGCTTTTGTAAATATTACAGCCAAGACAACCCTATGAAGCACAGTTCTACTCTGTAATGCATGGGGTTGCCATGAGTCGGAATTGACTCAATGGCAAGAGGTTTGGTTTTTTGGTTTTCTCCTCTGGAAAGCCTTCACCCCTCCACCCCCACCCCGTCCTTCTCTGGGATCCCAGGCTCCAGCCCCTTCGCCCCCCAAGAGTGCTTTCAATGTTGAGTTTTGAATGCTGTTTACTTGTCCGTGGTTTCTGAGTTCAGAGACTGAGCCCCACAGCACATAGCCCCAGACGTCGCTCAAATGTAGACCCACCTCAAGAATGAATGAATGCGAGAGAAGGGCTGAGGCTTCTCCCCGCCTACGGGCCCCTGGCTCCCTGCTGGAGTCAGGGCTGGGCCTCCATGAAGAGAAAATCACAGTATCCCGGCAGCAATCAATGAAGTATTTTTCACAAGCAAGGAAAACTTCAGGCTAAATTGAGGCACAGAGCAAATCATGTTTTTAATGTTTTCTGAGAGCCGTGAAATATCGACTCCAAAGCCACCAACTGCAGTTTGGGAAGTGTGCAAGGAGATCTTTCTCTGCATGCCTCCTGGGTACGTGTGCGTGTGTGCCGGCGTGTGCATGCATGTGTGTGTGTGTGAAGTTGGGGAACACATCCCTTCCCTCGCGGTGGCGTGCCCCTCCCACAGGTCCTGGTGTCTGCAGTCTGAACAAGGGCACTTCATTGGCATCGCAGAGGCAGAGGACAGCTAGGGCTGCAGGCGTGTCCACGTTACCGAGCACTGAGTGCGAGTTTTATGTGGCGATGGCCTCATTCGAGCCCGCTCCACCTCCAAGGAGCTGCTGTTCCCCCCTCCCCGTTTCAGATGAGAAAACTGAGGTGTAGACAGGGCTAGGGAGCATGCAGGGAGAATAATCCTTTTGCTGGCCCCCTATGTGGGGCTGGGACCGGGGAGCCTGAGCGTGTACCCCCAGGATTTCCGTGGCACTACAATGCAGGACGAGCAGAGCCGCCACTGGGGAGCGCTTTACATGCCGTGTTAGCATCCTAGAGCCGCCAAGACCACAGTCTGGGTGGCTTACAACAGAAATTTATTGTCTGATGGTTCTGGAGGCTGGGAGTCTGAATTCAGGGTGTCGACAGGTCCATGCTCCCTCCAAAGGCCCCAGAGGAGACCTTTCCTTTTCTCTGCTGGGCTCTGGTGGCCCTGACTGCTCCCTGATGTGCAGCTGCAGCCCAGCTTCCTCAGCATATCCTTCGCTCCTGTTCCTCTGTGTTCTCTTTTATAAGGATACCTGTCCTCTAGGATTAGGACCCACCCCGGGGCAGATCAACCGGTATGCAAGCTACGCACCGGCTTACCATAAGCAGGCTGCGCACGGGCTTAATTGTGTTTACTTACTAGTCCGTAGCGCACAATTTCACACGGGTGTCACCACATCTTTGACGCAGAGCTGGAGGCTGGGTGAGCTGGAGAGCTGCGGGCGGGGCTCAGTGTGGGGCCTCGGGCCTGGTGATCGGCTTCCAAAAACTCAGCCACTGACAGCCCTGTGGAGCAGAGTTCTACTCCGACTCACATGGGGTCGCCATGAGTCGGAGTTGACTGGATGGCAACCGTTTTTTAAAACTGGGACACGTCTCCGAACTTCCGGGAGCTGTGATATTGGAATCTTTAAATGGAGCAGTGCCCCCCTCGGGCAGAGCTGTGAGGATGTGATGTGTGGAGCTCCCTACCCGCCTTCCCTCCCGCTCCGGTCCTCGGTGCTCATCCTCCTCCTCTCCCCCCTCCTCTTTGTCTTCCTCCCCCTCCCCCCTCTCCTCTCCCTCCTCTTCCTGCAGTAGGAGATGAGGTCCTGCCTTCAGCACCCACCCCGCCCCGCAGATGCAGGATCCTGGCCCCACCCTGGGGAAGGCCTACCCGAGGGGAAGATGCTCAGTGAAAAGGGAGCACCTCCCGCTAGTCGGACAGAGAAAGGGTTTTCTTTACTATGGCAGCAAGGGAGATTTCAGTGGGACACGTGGAGGAACCCCCGGGGGTCAGGGCTGCAAGCAGTCCTTCTCAGGTCGGAGCACACATGTACACCTGCCCCTCCTTCACTGTCTCCTTGCTCAAAGCAAGTGGTTTTGCTTCCAGGTGCTTCTCAGTAATTGCACTAATAAATTCAATAATTAAGCTAAATCCACAGAAGAGAATTAAATATTAATTTCTAATAAGCTATTCCAAGAGTGTCCCAGCAAGGATGAGCAGGAGTCTGCCCAGGCCACCC